TTGCGCAGAAAACCCTCAGAAGCTTGAAACACCTCTTGTCCCCTGGCCAAGGGCTGTTCCTGACTTGGGGAGAGGGTTTGGACCTGGACTATATTTATATATAAATATATAATGTATTATTATATATTATGTATATAACATATAACATATATAATTAATAGATAATATATGATATATTTGTTTGTTTAGTTATTTGTTTGTTGATTTTTGTGCAGAACACCCTCAGAAGCTTGGAGCACCTCTTGTCCCTCGGCCAGGGGGCTGTTCCTGACTTTGGGAGAGGGTTTGGAGCCGGGCTGCTCCCGAGGAGCAGCCACTCACCCTGACACGGAGAAGCTTCCCCACCCCAGGCAGCAGCCGGAGCAGGGATGGGTTCCAGAGCAGAGATGTGTCATGTTTACCGCGGCCGTGTCCCGTGTCCCGTGCCGGAGAATTCCTGGAAGCGGGAGAGATTTCACAGCCCTCCCTGTGCCTCAGAACACGCAGGTGGTGCCAAAAGCACAGCTCCTCACGTGGCTGCTGTGAGATTGCCAGCGGCTGGCAGGGAGCAGCCACCCCTGCCTTGCTCCCCTCCTCCTCCTCCCTTGCTGATCCCGTTTTTAAATTCTCCTTCCCCTCCTCTTGGCTCCCATCTCTCAGTTCAAGGGGATGGACAAAAGATTTTTCCTATCTCTCAATTCAAGGGGATGGGTAAAAGAGATTTTTCCCATCTCTCAGTTTGAGGGGATGGGTAAAAGGGATTTTTCCCATCTCTCAATTCAGGGGGATGGGTAAATGAGATTTTTCCCATCTCTCAACTCAAGGGGATGGGTAAAAGAGATTTTTCTCATCTCTCACTCAGAGGGGATGGGTAAAAGAGATTTTCCCCATCTCTCAGTTTGAGGGGATGGGTAAAAGGGATTTTTCCCATCTCTCAATTCAGGGGGATGGGTAAATGAGATTTTTCCCATCTCTCACTTCAAGAGAATGGGTAAAAGAGATTTTTCCCATCTCTCAGTTCAAGGGGATGGGGAAATGCTGGGTTTCCTCCAGTCCTGTGCTGTGAGGCTGCTCAGGTGACACCAGAGCCCCCAGGCAGTCACTCCAGGGTGCAAGAAAGGAATAAAGTCCTGCACTCCAGGCTCTCTAAATGGTTTTTGGAACTCTTACCTGTGCAGGAAGCAGGGTGTGGGTCTGACCATCACTTGGAAAGCCAGGCATTAAGATAACAAGCCCCCTGCTTGCTAATGCTCCTTTTCCCCAAGCCCCTCCAGGCCTCTGATCCCAGCAGGGCAGGGCAGAGGGAAGGGAATCCCTGCAGCTGCTGCTCCAAAGCTCTCCTTGATCCATGTGCCTGTTTGCAGATGTTCTGGACTGGGATCCCATAACTGGTATCGAGCAGTGAACCCCTCCACAGCCAGGCCCAGCCCAGCCCTGCCTTTACAGCCTGCTGTACATCTTTTATTGTCCCTCTCTTTTGGGAGCAGCATCACCCACAGCTGGGCTTTACCTGGTGCCCCACCTGAATTCCCCCATAACCTCATGTCCAGCACCTCCTCAGGACTCCTGAGCTATTTTCTCTCTGATTCACTTTAAATACATCCCGAAACAGATTATTTACACCTTTCACATGGTCTCGTGTGTCCAAATCTTTCTAGTTTTTTTCCAGATTTCTTTTTAAGATTTTTTTGGTAGCTATGCTGAGCTGCCACTAGGGCAAAGGTCTCCCTGGGATAATTTTACACATTCAGAAAAATAAACTGTAAGATCTAATCTTGCAAAAACCCCTGAAGTGTTTTGTTGAGACGCCTGCATGATTCCTTCATGGCAAACAAAACAGCTCCAAGCTGCAAGTTCACTCAAACCTCCTGGGCTTTTTCCCTGGTGTGCATTTTCCCCCTGTAAACAAAGAGCCAAACAAAGCACCTTTGCTACCCAGTGGAAAATTCAATCTGGGCAAAGGGGAAAAGAAAGCTTTAAAAATAAATGGTTGGTTTTGGAAAGGGTCAGGGCAGCGTCCACCCCATGGGGTGGGCTCTGGAATATGGCTCTGGAATATGGCTCTGGAATATGGGTGGCCAATAGTGCTGCATGAAAATGAGAGGAGAAAGGGAAGAGAAGGATGTGAGGAGGACTGCAGGAAATGCCATGAGCCCCCCCAGATTCCAGGTGGCCACTCCCAGTGCCCAGCACTGCTGCCACGTGGGGATGGATCAGCCGTGACGGGGTCTGGATCCCCATCCCACGCAGGGGAAAGCCCTGTCCCAGCCTTCCCAGCACAGGCACAGCTTGGGAGGGCCCCAGCTGATGTCATGGCTGTGAGCAATCCCAGCTTTGGGATGAGGATCCCTCCCTGTGACCTCCTCAGACACCCCCAGCTCCTCCACGGGCTCTGTCACGTCTGTGTGCTGTCCTCCTCCTCCAGCACCTCCCTCCCACCTTCCTTTAATTGCAAACATCATGGAAGCCCTGGCAAAACCCCGGGTAGCAGCCAGGCCCCTGTCAGCACCCGTTATCTGCTGCCTGTCCTCAGGAGCTGCTTCAAAACAAAGGCAGAAGGACGTTGTCCATGGGCAGGAGGAATTTTCCACTGGGTGGGTACAGCCAGCCTGGGTCACAAGATGCAGTGCCCTGGCTTGCATCACCCCCCAGCACCCTGAGAGGCAGCTGTGCCCCATCTGTGCTGCCCAAATCCCCGGGGATTGCCCACAAGAGGCTGGACCTGAACCATTCCCACCTCATTCCGAGGGGGACAGGCTCCAATCTCCACATTCACCCCCCAGCAGCTCACTTGAGGCTCACTCAGCGTGGCTTTGGCAGGAGGATTCGTGCATGGGTGGCTCCCTGCTGTCCTTGAGCAGGGGACAGGGCTGAGCAGGGGGTGTGACACTGTCCCATCAGGCTGCCTGCAGGGATTTTAAGAGTCCAGCCCTGCTGGTGATGCTCAGGAGGAAATGATGAGGAGCTTGAGGGGGAGAAGATGGGGGCTGATGGTTCCTTGAGGATGCAGACCCATCTGGGAGGGAGGGCATCCTCACCTTTCCTGCTGGGTCGCCTCCTCCCTGCAGCACACAGCACTCTCAAGGGTCTCCAGGGCAAAAATCCACTGTCCACTCCTCTCTCGGCTGGCAACCAGCTGTCTCCAGCTCCCTGCCACTCCACATCTGGAAGGGAAGCACCAGGAAGGGCCACACTGGGCACTTCCCCTCTGCACATCTGGGAATTGACAGCTCTGCTTCATTGTGCTGGGGCAGGGAGGGTTTTGCTGCTGTTATTATTCCAAGCTGGCCCGGAGTCCAAGGGAAACAAAAGCTTCTTCCTTGCCAAAGGGAGCGCTGGCTCAGCCACAGGAGACGAGGGCTGGGCTATTCCCTGGGCTCCTAAACGCTGCATTTCGGTGTTTAAATTTAGCCCCAGACTGAAGTTGTGCAGACACAGAGCCCTTCTGGAGAGCCAGCAGCCTGGCCAGCATCAACATCAACCTCGTGTGTGCCCTTCCTTTGCTGAGAGCTCAGCCCCCAAGGCTGCAGCCCCCAGATGTGCTCCCCGGGGCAGATTCCTGGCAGAGAAACACCCCAGAGTGCTCTGGAGGGCAGGGCAAGGCAGCCTGGATGCAACAACAGCTCTTCTGGCCATCCAAACTGCAGCAAGACAAAGGAAGAGGCTTGCAAGTTTTTCTCTCCTCGTTAAGCAGTTGACGAAGAGAACTTCGTGAGAGGTCAGATGTTAGGAGCTCTGGCCATGCCCTGTGCCACCTGCCTCTTTCCTGGGGCACAGAAAGTCCCTGTGGCCTCTGGTACTTTGGGATGCCAGTCCTGGCCTGGGAAGGGAGCCGAGCCCTGGCTTCCATTCCTTCAGTAGGATCCATCACCACTGCAGAGCACAGCAAACAGCCCCAAGGGACACTGCCGAGCTCACATTTGGACCCCCAGATGGGAGAGGCACTGGGGGTTTACCTCCCAAATCCATAACTGGAAGGGTCCAGATGGAAATTCCTGCCCCACACCACCTGGGGAGCTGGGAATGGTCCAGAGCCTGCCAAAAGCTGTCACCCCCTGCAGCTGAGCCCTGCCTGGGCTGGCCGCTGGATCAGGACGGGCAAGTGAGGAGTCAGGAGGAATGCTGGTTGTTTGCTGCAGCTCTGCAAACAATTCGTGGCCTTGTCCCCCGGACAAACCTGCTTTGGTAAGGATCCTATTCATACTCCAGTGATTCCTGGAGAACAGAAAGTTGAGTGCGAGTGAGGCATCCTGCTCCTGTCTGCCAGGGAAATACATCTGCTGGCTCAGAGCCCTGGGAAAAGAGAGGTGCTCCAAGATCCTGAGGATGTTCTGCACCAAAACCAAAACAAAACAAAACAAAACACAAAAAATCCCCAAAAAACCAACCAAACAAACAAAAAAAACCAACCAACCAAACAAACAAACAAAAAACCAACACACACACAAAAAAAACCAACAACAACAAACCAAAGCCAAAAAAAACCCCATAAAAACCCAACAACAACAAACCAAAAAAAAACCCAAAAAAATAAACAAACAAAAAAACCCACAAAAAAACCAACCACAAAACCAACAAAAAATTAATTTATGAAATTATTTCTTTATAATCTTTATCTATTTTAATATTTATTTATATTTATATTTATTCCATATTATATATAAACAACCACAAAAACTACAAAAAATTAATTTATGAAATTATTTATTTATAATATTTATCTATTTTAATATTTATTTATATTTATATTTATTCCATATTATATATAATATATTATAACATTATTCTAGGTTATATATTATAGATAATATATATTAATATATATTATATATTATATGTCATATTATATAACATATAATATTATATTATATATTTGTATTTATATATTATATTTTATATAAAACATATACTATAATATTTTATATAAGAAAATTATTAATGATTATAACATATATATTTTATATAAATATATAATTTATTTTAAATATATTAAAATATATTATATATGTGTGTATATATGTATATGTATACACAAATACAGATATGGGTAGAAATAGAAATATATAAATATATATTATATATGTATTTATAGATATAATATATTTCCACCCTGTAAATAAGGTGGAAGGGAGAGGTGTGGTGAGGAACCACTGGCTGAAGAGACAGCCTGACATTCAAAGGGCACCAAAGGATGGGAATATCACACTGGTTCTTTAGGATGAATGGCAAAAAATCTGAGATTTTTTTACACACAGAGTAGTAGAATAATGAAAACAGCCGAACACCCAATTTCATGGCTTATTAAAATCCTGGGGAGGGTGATGCTCTCTCTGCACACAGCTCCCTGGGGATGAGCCCGTTTCACTGCTCTGGGCAGGGCTCAAATGCTGCAGGGATGCACAGAAACCTCTGGGCACAGCAGGAAACACCAAGGTACCTTTGGCTGGGTTATTTCACCTTCTTTTTTTCCTAAATACTACTTCAGATTGGAAGAGAAATACATAACACTGACAGAAATGAGTGCTGCTCTCCAGGGAAAAGAACTGCAAGCCCACACGGCCAGGCCCAAGCAGAGGAAAAAAGAAGAAATTCTTCCTTCTTCAGAAGGAAGAGCAGAAATTCTGGCAGCTTTGTGCTGGAAAGTTTTTCCCCGTGACAGAGACAACCTGTGTGTAAGGAGTGTAAGGAGAATTTAAGGTCATTTAAGGGGGTTTCCAAGCAAAGGAATCATGGTCTTAAATCTATTTAACAGAATATGTATTTTTTAATTAACAGAAATATGATTAACAGAAATATGATTAACAGAAATACGTGGGGTTTTTTTCTTTATATTAAAGGAACACAAGCTCATATTGAGAATAATTGGGAATGCTGCCATCAAAATTGGATGCTCAGGTGGGAGCCCCATCCAAGTTTCATTGGGATTTTTCCCTGCAGAGGCTGCACCAAGCCTGCCTGAGGTCAAGAAGCATTTGGACAACTCTCAGGCACAGGGTGGGGTTTTTGGGCTGTCCTGTGCAGGGACAGGAGCTGGACTCCATGATCCTCCTCAGGATATTCTGTGATTCTGTATTTCCCCAGGATGGGCTGTGCTTGGAGAGGAACTTGGTGGTTGAACCCCTCCGATAAACCCAAAGGGAGAATCAATAAGCTATAAGCATAAACAAGAACAATTTGCAGTTTTTGTTGCCCCAAATCACATCTTTGCTGTTGTTTTGCGGGAAACCCTGGTATTTTTTGCAAAGATTTATTTGACAGGAAAAGGAAAGCGTTGCTGGACTCAAAGAAAGTGCCAGCCCCTCTCACTTACCTGTGTTTATACAAATACACACAACACCTCGATGGGTTTGTACCACCCTGCTGATTTCCAGGCAGGTCTTCATGAGAGCAAGAGCCCAAGAACTTCCTAAACAACTCGTAGAAACGAGGGAAAATGGAATTGAAACGAGCAAAGGCAATCAGCTGGGGGGAGAAAAAAATAAAATAAAATGAAATAAAATAAAATAAAATAATAAAAATCAGACTGCACACAGAGCCACATGCCTCGAGCTCTTCCCGTGGGGAAGGGCAGGCAGAAAGCCAAGAGTGGCCTCAGCACTGCCTGTGTTCCATCAGGGGATGCTGCTTGGGGAGCTGGGAGGGCAGTGCAGCACTGCCTCCAATCACACCGCTGGCAGCCCGCGTTGCTATGGCCCTCAGGTCTGAAACTTTGGAAATTAGGTAAAAGGTCTAAACACGAAACTTTTCTTTTTTTTTTTTTTTCTTTTTTTTTTTTTTTCTTTTTTTTTTTTTTTCTTTTTTTTTTTTTTTCTTTTTTTTTTTTTTTCTTTTTTTTTTTTTTTCTTTTTTTTTTTTTTTCTTTTTTTTTTTTTTTCTTTTTTTTTTTTTTTCTTTTTTTTTTTTTTTCCTTTTTTTTTTGTTTTTTCTTTTTTTTGCCTCCTCCCCCTCTGCAGTGCTGCCCCTTGCCTAGCACAACTAGCACAATCCCTCTTCCTGCTGGTAGAAGCAGCTGGGATGAAGAATTAACTCTCGCAGTCCCAGGGGTTTTCCAGTCGGGAGCAGGGATGTGAGGCAGGAGCAGTGGAGCAGGGGAGGGGGAATGTGCCAGCAGAGCATGGTTCCCACCTGTCCTGGGGCGATGAAACACCAAAGGGATTCATGAAGGGGTTCATGAAGGCATTCATCCCATTCCTGGAGGGATTCATCTTTTCCTCACCCAAAACGGGCGTGGATTTAAAGTGGGTTTCACACTGGTGCAACAGCAGTGGGAGATCCCAAGGGATGGGATTTTTTTCCATTTCCTGGGTGGAATTTGACATTTTTAAGGGTGCTAGACCCTGCAGAAATCCATCTCCTGCCATTCCAAAGAATATTTTTCATTCCCTGGGTGGATTTTGACATTTTTAAGGGTGCTAGACCCAGAGAGATCCATCTCCTGCCATTCCAGAGCATTTTTTTCACTTCCTGGGTAGAATTTGATGTTTTTAAGGGTGCTAGACCCAGAGAAATCAATTTCCTCCCATTCCAGAGGATTTTTTCATTCCCTGGGTGGAATTTGACATTCTTAAGGGTGCTAGACCCTGCAGAAATCCATCTCCTGCCATTCCAGAGCATTTTTTCATTCCCTGGGTGGAGTTTGACATTTTTAAGGGTGCTAGACCCGGAGAGATCCATCTCCTGCCATTCCAGAGGATTTTTTTGCTTCCTGGGTAGAATTTGATGTTTTTAAGGGTGCTAGACCCAGAGAGATCCATCTCCTGCCATTCCAGAGCATTTTTTTCACTTCCTGGGTAGAATTTGATGTTTTTAAGGGTGCTAGACCCAGAGAAATCAATTTCCTCCCATTCCAGAGGATTTTTTTGCTTCCTGGGTAGAATTTGATGTTTTTAAGGGTGCTAGACCCAGAGAAATCAATTTCCTCCCATTCCAGAGGATTTTTTCATTCCCTGGGTGGAATTTGACATTCTTAAGGGTGCTGGACCCAGAGAAATCCATCTCCTGCCATTCCAGAGGAGATGTCCTGGCGGGGGGCTGGCTCTGCATGGCCCAGCTTGGTTGGGCACAGAGAGAGGTGACGCTGAGCTGGCACTGTCCCCACCCACCAGGGACCCCCACAGTGCCATTCCCACGGGAATCCTGCCTGTGCCCACTCCCTCTGTGCCACCAAAGGGCTGTGCCAGTTTCGTGTGAGCAAAGCTCGTAGCAACATTGATATCTCTGTGAAACCTACAGGACAGGGAAAACTCACTCTTTGTCCCTCATGGTTCTACCAAACCAAATCTCCAGCGTTTCCTATTATGAAAAGGGAAAATCTTTCCTCCTGATGGGAAAGATTTATCCCACCATTACAAGGGTGAGTTGGTAGAATGTTCTACCAAACCAAATCTCCAGCATTTCCTATTATGAAAAGGGAAAAATCTTTCCTCCTGATGGGAAAGATTTATCCCACCATTACAAGAGACAGAATGGGCTGAGGGCTTTGTTTCAGTGTTTGTGTAAAGCTGCTGTTTTGCTTCCCTACAGCTGCACACAGTTTTATCTGAGCTGTTTTGGTGCTTCCATAGTGTTACATCCTTCCAGCCCTGCTTGGCCCTTGCTTTTGAGCGGCAGCACTCATAAATTCAATTTGGAATTTGTGGCCATTCCCTCACCCTCCTGCCCACCAGGGCCACCCCAGGCAGTGGAGGTGCCTTGGGGGGCACACGAGCACCTCCAGCACACCAAGCTGGGAGCACCTTCAGGAGTTACCCCGTCTTTTCTGCTGCTGCCAGGAGAGAGGCTGCTTTTCCAACTGCCCCAAATTCCAGCTCCGGGAAGCTCTTGGCTGCTCAGCCAGCCATCCCCAGGGCTCGGGATGGAGCCAGGCACCTCGCTGGCTCGGGGCCAGCTCTGCAGGGCAGGGGAAGGGCCACAAAGGTGGCTTTGTTCCTCCTGCCTGCTGTGACACCTACGAGGTGGAGTCATCTTTCCACAAAAAATCTCCAGCAGCGTTGCCCAGGTGCTGCAAACCACAGCGGGGTCGGGCTCGTCCCCCCTCCTGCCTTTCCCCAGGAAAATTGCAGGCCAGGAACGATCCAGGCAGGGTTTGGCACGATCTGCAGGACCAGGTATTTGCATTAATCCCTCTCAGGTTCCATCCCCATCTCTGCATGTCTCCCTGGGACTCCCGGTGAGGAGCTGTGAAAAGCACCTCACACATCTTCTCTTTCAGAGTCACAGCATCTTTCAGCCCTGTTTACCCAAGAAAGTGAAGGTGGAGAAACTACAGGTGTCAAGTCTTTAAATCTGTAGGGAAAGGAATTATTCTCTGGCAGAACAGCTGGGGAAACCCCAAAGAAATGCTGGCCCAAACCCACCTCAGGTCTGAGATGGGGCAAGAAGTCTCCAAACCAGGGCCTGGCCAGGAGCAGAGCCAGCTCTCATTGCTGGTTTGGAGCTGGCCACGTCTCTGCTCACACATTTCTTGTTTGCTTTCCCTTGTGCCAGCAGGTGAACTGTTTATTTCCCAGTGATCCCAGTGTCTAACAATGTTTTACCTCTCCTGACAAACACTGCCTTGCCCATCACCCAAAACCAGCCCAGCAGGCGCTGGGCAGCACTGCTACAATCCCTCTTCATGAGCAAATGAATCTCCATTTGGCACAGCAGCCGCATTTAGGGACAGCAAAATATCACTTTTAGAATATAATTCTGTTCTTTGTCCATGCTCTCAACTCGCTGCTTAGAAAAAACCCACCTGGAAAAAAAATCCCTTGGATATTAAGCACCTGCAGCTCCTACCAAACATCAGGTGGGACCAGAGGAAAGGAAAGTGGAGCCTTTTTGATGAGGAATTTGCTGCCTGGGTCTCACGTGGCTGCTCCCAGCCCTGTTGGGTGCTCTGGGCACAGCGAGCTGGGCTGGGATGGAAGCCCAAGGCTGTGCCACCAGAATGGGCTCCAGGGCAGCCCAGCTCCTGCCCATCCCCATCCCTGCCCCAGGAGAGCAGCAGGAGCCAAGCCAGGACCCACCAGGCTCATCCACTATGTGCCTGTTGGATCCCAGGCTTCTGGGATAGCAATAATTGGATTTTCCCTGCAAATTCTTTTGGATCCTGATGCATTCAGATGATAAAAACATGCATCCTGTGCCTTGCTTCTGCTTCTAAATACAGAGCTGCTGTGCAGCACAATGTTCTGCCTCACCACCTGCAACACAGCGCCAGACTAAACAAAAATGCCAAAAAACAGCCCCCAAAAAATGCAGACCTGAGGGGCCCGACCTTGCTGTGGCAACGGTGACACTGAATTTTGGGATGGCAGTGGGAAGCAGGGGGTGTGCAAAATAATGTTCCTCCCAGTCTCTGCCAGGGGAAAGGACTGGGAAGGATGGCAGGAGGAGTAAAAATTAATGAGGTGTCTTCCCCTCCTCCCATTCTGGGTTTAATGGTTGGAAAGGGACCAGCAGATGTCAACAGCTGGAAATGCAGATCCATGCCAGGATGGAGCCCAGCACACCCAAATGAACCTGGGGATGGGACAGAAACGTGCAAGACAATAAACCCTGGGTGAGAGCAACCAAGCCAGGCAGCAAGAAGCAGCCAGGGGTGTCATTTATTCCATGCTCCCACTGCTCCTGTTTGCTGCTGAGCTGGGGGCACATCCACGTGTCTCTGGAGGAGCCAGCTGGATCCCTGCGGGTTTGGCAAGCTGGGAACAGCCAGCACAGGTACTGGGAACAGCACAGCCAGGGCAGAGGGCTTTGTTTATTCAGTGAAGGGTGGAGGGAGGTGCAAAGCAAGGGGAAATCAATGATAGGTGGAGGGAGGATGGAGCTCTGACAGCAAAGGTCCTCTCAGGACTAGGAACTGGATCTCTGGAGGGGAGAGAAAACAAAACCAAACCAAACCAAAAAAACCCAAAAAACTAAAAAACCAACCAACCAACCAAAACCCAACAAAAACCAAAACAAAAAACCTAACAAACAAAAAAAATTAAAAAAAAGACCACCACCAAAAACACCCCAAAAAACAAACCCCAAACAAAACAAAACAAAAAACAAAACCCCCAGGTTTTTCTTACAGAAAGTCACGTTTTCTCATGACTGGAATATAATGAATGGCCCAAAGAAATATTCCAAACAAACAAACAAAACCCAAACCCTCTCATCTGAGCACATTCCTTGCCTTCCAGCCTTCTCCTGTCCCCAGCATCCTTCTCATCCGTGTCCCACACTGAGCTTCCCATTAGTGGGCAAACAGCAGAGGGACTGGAGGCTTGAGCAGAGGATCCAGAGGAGATGCAACGCTAATTAACACAACTTTTCTTCCCTTCTGTGCAAAGTTCAGGGCTCTGGCAGGGGGGTCCCTCAGCACAGGGACAGAGGAACGAGTCCTGCCCGTGCCAGGGAGATGGGCCAGCAGTGCCCACGGGCACATCTGCTCCTGCTTGCTCTGCTTCCCATGGCACTGACGTTGGAAACAAGCTGTTCCCAAGCCCAGAGGAAGGGCTGGCACCTGCCCAGGGGTACCTGGCAGAGGGAGGCACAGCGTGCCCCACGGGACGGGCACACGGTGCCGAGGCTTCCCAGAACTGCGGGATGTTTTGGCAGGGCTGCAGCTCTGCTCTTGCAGCATGCTCGGGCAGGGTGCAGAAATACACACACACAGCTCCAGGTGCCTCTGGTGTTTTGGCTTCAGAAGAGGACTGTCCAACAACAAGCGACCCACACAACTAAAATCCCACCCAGCAGCAGCAGAGCTCCTCATCCTGCTGCTCCCACAGACCCCTGAGCACACAGGGCTGTTTCACCTCCCCAAAATCCCCCCGAGCCCCGGTCTGGGAGCCCAGCTCAGGATTGCACCACTTTCCCCCAGCCCTAGATCTGGCCCAGCTCTGCTGAGAACACTTGATCTCCTCCCTGAGCGCTGCCAGCTGGGTGAAATACAGCTGCTGCCTCAATAGCGCTGCCGAAAAAAAGCCTGACATTATTCACAACAAAGAGACAAGCATTGCTGTGCTTGCTTTAGATTTCATGGGAGCAGTTCCCACTGCTCCATGGGCACGGGGAGACGAGCAGGGGGGAGATGAGCAGGGGGAGCTGCTGGATCTCAAAGGGCTCCTTGGGCAAAGCTGCTACAAGCTCCCACCCAAAACATCCCGTTCTCCTGCAGAACCCGTGGGGTATGGCTGCCATCCCCCTACCCCGAGCTTTGCACAGAGATTCCTGGTTTGCCAAGACCATCTCTTCCAGCAGAAGCTCCCATCTTACAAATTCCATGGCTTTCTCCAGCCCAAGGTCACCAGGAAGCTGAGGGAG